GTTTTCGTGTGTAACATATCGTCTGCCCTTATAAAGAAACTCAGAACAATAGATGAACCATAATTTCTTTTTTTTAATATCTTAAGTGAAAAATATTTGAATTCTTGAATGGATTTTATGAAAATTTGGAAAATTTATCTGAGTATTTGAAGCACCAATTGACTTTGGTAAAAAAAAATTAACAATAAAACAATGGTACGTAAAAGCCCCAAAATATTCTTTTATAGCCGAGAATTTGCATTTTAGTATAGTTATTCTAATATGAAATGACTTCATTTCGGGATGAAATAACTTTTTTTAGTTCCAAGAATACTTATTAGCATTTTTATTGTTGCGTTGAAAGAAAGTATCGCACTTGAGTTCAAAAAGCTTTTACGGTGTCTGTCATTTAAATGTAATATAAGACTAGAAATTAGCATATTCTTAGAATGTTAATGGAACATTATTTCATCTAGATGTAAGATGTTTCTAGAATATATTTCTGAATTCAAAAATACCTTGTAACTGCTATTGAAATAAAGAAACGGTTACTTATTCGCCATGGAATTTTTCAAAAGAATATTATTATTTTTACAAAAGAATATTAATACATGAATATTTGTTTTAGATATTGATCAATTCTGTGCAAATTAAAAACGATCTTAGATTTTACTAGAATTAATAAGAAATACATACCATAATAACATACATAATATATTACCATATAATAATACCATAATATCATCCATACCATGAATATGTATAAAACTATAAAAAATAAACTTTTTTTTTTCCTTTGTAAACTTAGAATAAAAAATAAACTTCAGGTTTTAACACCTGTCACTTTTTATGCAAATATCAACTAATTTGAACCACTCCTTATTTGTGTTTAAATCACTCCAGCTGCCACTCTAATCCATCAAAACCTGCCCAAAAATAATCTTCTTATTTTATTTAATAATACGTTTAATATGATGGACTGCCCAATGTTTTTAATTAAATTAAGCGCTTTGCAACATTTATTTAACCACGCATGACAAAACGAAGCTCTTATTTACTTTAGTTTTGATTGATATTCAATTTAAGAGAATGTAGGAAAAATGTAATTTTCCATCCTTTTTTTTTTGCTGTTAAAAACTTGTTTTAAATTATTTATAAAAAAAATCGCATTGTTCGCGATATATATGTAATATATACATATCTAAATGAATGCAATTTTTTTCCAATATATTCTTAATAATTACTGATAACTTTATAAGAAAATAATTGTTTGAAACAAAGAGATAGATAAAAACTTCAGAGTATGAAATTTTAGTAACATTTTAATGAACCTTTCCAGAATATAAACAGCAAAACGCAGTTGTAAAACACATTTTCTAATTAAAAACTGGTTAATTTCCAATTAAAAACTTCTTAATTAACTGGTTAACGCAGTTGACCTTACTATGTTTTTGAGCCCAATACTTTGTGCTCAAATACATAGTATTCTACTATCTTCAGTGTACTTCTATGTCAGTATGTACTTGTCTTCTCTCAAAGTTTAAATATGAACATATTATCAAAATATTCTCCCATTTAAACAATTCGTGATGTGTAAATAAAATCTTAGTGTGTATTCTGCAAACAGTTAGTGAATTAATTGATTAGTTCCATGGAATAGTTTCTTCTTTTTAAGAAAGTTGCTCTTGCATTAATTATGCCTTCATTTAAATTTTTTTTAATAATTTTTCAGAGTAAACACAGTCATTACTAAATTAATAATTAGTGTAAGGAATCTGTAAGAGAAGAAAATAAAATTGATACAAAAATTAATAAGTATGAAAGTCTAGACGTAATTTCATAAATATTTGATAAATAAATGTATATGTTTAGCCATTCGAAAACTGAATTTCTGTATTATGGATATCATTGTATTTAAATCTATCAAATTACTTTGTTTTGGCAGGAAGAAAAAGTGCAAATGTATGTTTTTTTAGATTTATTAACTACAAAAATGATTGAACTCACTGCAACGTTCCTTCTTCAAACTATCAATTATTGCGTTCAACATAAATTCATGGCTCTAACTTATCAGTAATTGAACTCTAAATAATAATTGAGACTTATGTCTTGCTTCGAGCAATAATTTCATCTTTCATCTCCAGAGCAAGTCAATCGACATAGCTGCATTATCAACACAATTAAAGTTCTATTATTATCCTGCTAATGATTAGACTGTATCATTAAGTAAAGAAAAATACATTAACTTCATTTTATTTTGTTTTCGTAATTTCAATTTTTTGAATTCCTCCCAATATGCAATCTAAGAAATAAATGTACCAATATAAATTAAGAAACAATTTTTAATGAAGATAAGAATCGAAAATGCCAACTGTGACTAATTTATTTTGAGGCTAGTATAAAAAATAAATTACGGAGAAAAAAATAATTCTCACAAAAAGAATCTATGGAAGTCATAACCTGTTTGGTGATTGTGAATGTTCGTGCCTGATTTCAAATCCAATTAAATACAACTCATTTTCATTATAATTATGAGTTATCAATTTTTTATTATTTTCTATAACCGTCTTTTAACGTTCAACACACTTCTAAATTATGTTCTTCTTTGTACAGAAATGGTGTGGTATTTCTTCAAAGAAAGCTTTAAAAAAAGTTTTGCTTTTTCTTATGTTATGATTTTTTCCATTTGTATTGTTTTGCCGGGAAAAGAAATGAATTACCCGGAATGTACCATCAGTACAGGAATCTGGTGATAATTTCCATCCCCTTAAGATCTATGTCAAAATTGTGAAAGTGGTCTCACAAATGAGGAGTGCTGCCATCTTTCCGGGAGGTTTTGAGCTAAGACGTATTTTCACCATGGTGGTACTCTCTGGTCAAACGAAACGCGCACTTTCCTGAATTAATTCGCAAAGGCTGGTATGCTTGGCTTGCTTGCTCAATTGTCCAAAAAAATGCAACAATATTTCGCCGGTCATGCAATGCAATATTTTATATCTATTCCTCTTTTATGCAAATCATATTACTCAGACAAAAATTCAGAAAAGTTTTAAAGTAAATATTGATATAAAAAGTAGTTTCGTTTTAGTAGTAACTATTTTTACAGTAAATCATACCATTCGATAATAGTAGGCGTTTCTTTCATTCACTATAACGTCACAATTGGTTTTCCAACAGATTTTAGCAATTTTCAAAATCGGGTACATTGTGTGACGGTATGGTACAAGGCTTAATGTGTTTAGCTTTCTAAACAGGTCTCCCGGGTTCGAAATACAGCTGTGACTAGCAAGATCTTCATTTATATTTATTTTCTCTTTTTATTCCTAAATTTTTGTTGTAAATCTGGAATTTCCAGTGAAAAGTATTAGTATCCTGGAGCAGGTATTTTTTACTTTAATTTTTGTGAAATATTTAGCAGTACTTCTGTCATAACCTAATGTATCCAGAATATTTTAAATTCTAATTTTGAAAATCTAACCATAAAAAAATTTATTAACATTTCCCATGCAAATCTGGTAACAGCACAAAGTAAAGAAAAAAGATCACAGTTGACAACAATGGCTAATTGTTTTGATGCCACTGTATGGAAACAAACTACGGAAAAAAATAATAATTTTAACGATAAAGATCATCATGCATTTGTCGACAACGCAAACTATAGATGAATTTTACGAACGAAAACTGTGTCTAATTGTTTTGATGCTACTGTGAGTAAACAAACTACGGGGACAAAATAATTCTGACGAGGAGAATCCATGAGATTGCACCTACAAGGTTGAAGTTAAGATCACTATCATGGGGATAAGGTCCCCCCTTGAAGGTGAAAGTCACCTCTGCTGCGCTTTTTACGCATCTATGGTTGATTGATGAGTTAAACTTAGTTGATTAGAATTCTTTCCAAGAAAGGAATTATCAAGATTTATGACAAGCAGGTAGTGAGATGCCATGCTAATCAGAGATGGGAGCTATTTCGGACAGGCAAGAATTCAATGGCGCCTCATCAGTTCTGTGTCATAAATTATTATAAATTGCGGGCTACTGGTCAATTAGTCATTGTAACGGGTTCTATATGAATGCATATTTAATAATTAGTATTCCAGAAAGGATCTCAGAGTGAAAAGAAATTAATCAATCAGTGTGAGAAGAATGCAGGTTTTGTGATAAGTGAATTTTGTGAAATTTTTTCTGCTGTACGAAAACGGGTTTGCTTATTACGTATAGAAAAAGTTATCGTAGATTGAAATTGTGATAAGCAAATGATAATATAAGGGTACAATTAGCATTGGATGTAAATTACCTATTCGTTCGAAGATGTTATATAAACATTGAAAGATTTTCGATTTAGGGACGCATTTTATTTATTTTAAACAGTTTTGGATTTTTAATATACAGTTACTCTATAACAAAAAAATATTATGTAATTCTTTTTTTTTAGCTTTTTAAATAATACACTTTATGTGTGAAGAAAATTTCATATCAATATGATCATTAATATTAATACGATTAAATTTCGTATCAATACGATTTTTGAATACACTAATTTACAATAATAGCTTACAGTCTTTGTTAATTTAGATATATTTCTGAAAAACAATAACAAATCAATTTTGATTATGTCGTCGAATAGAGAGGAGCTTCTTTGACCCAGAGGTATCGCAGTTTTGGAGGTAGCGGGTTTGAATCCCACAGTAACCCTGGAATTTTCTTTGCGCTGTCCTTCTCTTATTTGTGTTATCTGTTTTATAATTAACACTGACTTATATTCCGTTCTTGTATTAAGTACACAAGCCTGAACGTATGTGTATAATAATAAATGAATAAAAAACGAATATAAGAAGAATATATTTAACAAGAGAAAGTGCTCTTATTATAAATTAACGTACGACAAGAGTTAGATTAAATGCTTCCACTTAATTACAATAAAACTGATGTTTTAATTTACAGTTTTATGCAATATAAAGTTTTATAATAATTTAAACATTATATTTTGCAACTTAATGGAATGTCTTTTTTTCTTTTAGAAGTCATTCCTATATGACGAATATCTTAAGAGATTTTCAAACGAAGAAGTGAACATATTGCAGGTAAGTGTTTTTTTTTTAATTGTTTAATGATAAAAATTAAAGAATGCAAGCAACTCTTTTGTTTAGGCTCGCTATAGTGTTGTTAATACTTCGGTTTGTTGATGAATGTCTTGCACGTGACCAGGCCCACCCAATGGGAGTCACCTGGGTCAAACCCTTCCGAACGTTTGTCTTCCAAAGTTAGCAGACAACTCAGTAACAAGATTTTTACACAGTTAAAAACACGTTACGCAAGTTTGTTTCCCCCTCTAGTATTCTGAATATAAACAAAAAAAAGTGATCGTATGAAAGAAATATAGCTACTTGTGTTATAAATGATTTGGAAAATTATGCTAATAAATCAAATGGAATTTTTTTTTCAACTCTTCCATGGTTTTTTTCCATTCCTTTGCAACATGATATCGGTTAAAATTTTGTAGATGAAAAATGTACCGCTTTAATCTTTCATCATGTACTTCAATCTTTTATCGTGTATTATATAAGTAGTATAAAAAAAAAGAAAGTAAGTTACTGTGGTATAACTCTATTTTATAACGTTAAAGCCTTTTCTCAAAATTAATTTGTAATTAAAATTTTTTTGAAAAATCTTTAGAAATATACTGCTAGGAACGATGAGAACAGAATATCCATTAATTAAAATAAGAAATATCTAATAATTTTTTGCTTCGTTGTTCTGTTTTATTTCGTGTAAACTGAAAATCTTTCATTATAACGTTTTTTTATAATGTTTAAAAACATTTTAAAGTATTTTCTTCAGAAAATTGCATTTTGTATTATGAGTGCAAATATAAAAATCTATAGCTAGGCTCTCAATATTCAGTGCAGTGTAGAAACAATTATAAAATTGCAATGCAGTGAAGTGTGAAAACAATTATAAAATTTCTTACGCAACAATTATTAAAATCTCAAAATGCAGTGTAAAAACAATTATAAAATTTCTCATGATGAACAAAAAAAGGAATATTTAAAGTAGGAAGTACCTATTTAATTTTTATTTTACGTTATATAAATACAAAAATTCTTGAAGGCCCCTAAAAGTTTATACTTAAATCTTTAAGTGATTTTTTAAAACTTGTGATATCCTACGAAAAACCCTACTTCGTTAAAAAATATTATTATAAAATTTTAAAAAACTAGTTTATTTGTTTTATTATATGTAAAAACTTATATAACTAAAAAGAAAGTCTATTTTTTTTGCATACTTTTATTTGAATGGCCATTCTTAGGTGAAAATAAGGCATTTTTTGCATATACGTTAAGCACTGTAAAAAAAATTCTATTGCTTAAAAAGAAATATCTTTTACTGATTTTTATCATCTACCTTTTTATCAACTTTTATCAACTATGCTTTGAACTATTAACTTAAAAGCAAGTGCATCCACTACTGAGTTAGAAGCAGATAAATTTAAAAAAGCAAATTTTTAAAAAACTTCCGCATTTGTCTTTGCCAAAAAACATACAAAATAATTTAATTCTTCTTTTTTCTCTTAGTTTGTAGTTCAAAACATGCTTGCTATAATCATAAACACTCGTTAAAAATTGAGGACAATTAATTTTAAAAACAACATGAGATATCGTGTTTAAGGTGGCGTTAAATGTGAAAAAATCTGCTTTTGAAATAAGCCCATTTAAAGCCTTAAAATCATAAGTCAATCCCCTGCTATCACCTCGCACAGAAACAGCTACAATTTTGTAAATAGTGAGAGTACAAAAAAAAGTAAAGTATTTTTAGAAAACTAAGAGCGCAGGTTTTCTAAATTTTGCACGAAATCATGATTTTGCACTATTTTGATACCTTAAAATGCTAAAACTTGAAGATTAAATTTGAAAATTCCATTCTTAGTTAATAAATTCTAAAACTCTTATTTATTTTTACATTTTGCAAGAGTTTTTGAAATTACGATTTATTGTATAAATTAGAACTCTAGTGAGAAATCTTTTGCAATTTATTACTTTTGTGTATTTTAAAATATTTGCGTTTTGACGTATTTATATAGTTTGAAATATTTACGTTTAAAACTAAAATATTATGCTTAGAATGCAATGAATTTTCGAATCCTTCATTTACCTGTGCATCTCACAATAATTTTTATAACAATTTATTGGCTTAACTAGAACTCTAATCAGAAATCATCTGCAATTTGTTTTTTGACTATGCAAATCTTTTTTTACGAATCTTTTTTCTATCCTTCCCTACAAATCTTTTTTCACTCCTTCCTATAAATCTTTTTTTTTTAAATCTTTCAATTTTTCAACCCTTTTTCAGAAACACGATGCTTCATTTATCAAATATCGCTTATTTTGTATTTAAATCTGTAAATGTCAGAAATAAGAATAACCAAATCTTACGCCATCAAATTTTGAAATAAATATTACAGTTGAAATTACAACTGTATTCGTTACTCGAAGATGTGCTTAACAATCACTTTTCAACTCCTCGCTGTGTCCTCCAGCTATCAATTCGCTTTTGGTGCTTTGCGTCCTGCCTTCCTCACTAGTAAAAAGACAGACTATCTTGTTTTTGCTTTTGCCTCGCTTGATTATAAATTTGTGATCCCTAATGTGCATAAGAATTCTAAAATATATGTTAAGGGTGGTTGGTACGTATTACTTTGCATAATACTTATAATATGAACAAAAGCTCGATCATTTTACAGCTGTTTCAATTGCTTATAAACAAATGTTCGCTATTTCTTGCAACATTTATTCATAGCATTAAAATGCATCATGACATTTGGCATTGTATTTTCATGAGTATAATTTTGAAAATCAAAAATGTTATTTAACGTTCGGACCCTAATTTTATCGTTTTAGTCAATAATCATTTTAATTCATTGTTTTAAGGCAATTTAATGATTATTTCTGCTAACGCAATTCGAAACCTAAGTTAGAAAAATACTTAATGTCTTTAAAAATGTAATTAAATTTAGACCCTTTTTAGTCCCTTTTATGATTTAAAGAGTAAAATGAATGAAACAAAATTCTAAACTGAAAAAATGAGTTCATTAATTTTAAATGATTGCAATTTAGAAATAAATATACCACTCACAGAAGTTGATGAGAAAGGAACTTATTTTACTTTTATCTTAAAGGCTTTTTAGAGTGTCAAAAAAAGTAATTACTCATGTCCTTCATTTAAATTCTACACTTATTTTCATTTTTTTGATTACGTGGGGCATTTATATAATAGGTATTTTAATTGCGATTCAAATAAGGATTACGTCTTAAAATCATTAGAAATATATTCAACTTATAATTATTTTCTTAATTTCTCCTGATGAAACGCAAGGTAAATAAATAACTTTTCCGCTACTTACAAATACATATTTTTTTTTATTTCTCTTTTAAGTTCATAATTAAAATTAAAATTGTCCTTTGAATAATTAAAACCAAGTCTATTAAATATTAAGTAAAAGTCACGCACGTGAAAAAATAATTGCTAGTAAAAGAGTTTTAAAAAATAAATCTTTCCACGTCTTATGTGGCTTTAAATCTTTATAATGAAACAAAAAAATAAAAAGGAAGTGTTTTAATTTTCTGCATAATTAATGTTTCGTTGGCGAATTTTATTTCTTCTGCGTTTTAAACTTTGATGCTTAAAATTGTTCATATGTTAATAAAATATTTTTTTATTAATTTTCAATTTAATCAACAAACCACTTTACTTACGATGAAAAATAAAACAGCCATTTAAATTTGGCTAATTGGTTGTTATTTTAATCTTCTGTTTCAAATTTTATTTTGGTTTTTATCGCTAAATTAATCCAAAAAATCATACATATTTATGAATTCTTGATCGGATTTGTCTCAGAGAAGTTTTTTCAAGAAAAATGAAATAGTCTCTCGTGAATTAAACTTTATAAGCTAATATTCTTATAGGAATTTTGCGATAAATATTTATGATTTAAAATTTATAAAGAAAAGAAAAATAAAATAAGACGTGTTTCTAAAGCCTGTCGTATTTTAATTAGGTATACCTTAGGGGTATCTTAAAAAAGGTTTTATTCTGCTATCTTGTAATATTTGAAGTAAATAGCAAATACTATAACTTGTATAGTACTTAACATAATGCATTAATATAAAATTGTAATTTATTTCCTTAGCATGATTTGTAAAAGAAGTTATTTTTAAGTTTCAAACTTTCTGCGTATATTTACTAAATTAGTAGTACAAATAGAATTTCCTTAAAAAAATAGCTTCTAAAAATTGTATATATTTTTGGCTTTGAGCATTTTTATCATAAACCAATTTCATTATAAATAACAGTTTCAAAATTAAACATTTCAATAAACGCAATATACTTTAAAGTGCATGAAAAATCTTCCGAATTAGAATCAGCGTTGGGGGGGGGGCAGTGCAATAGACAAAAGAAAATATTAAAATAAAAGACTAGAATATTACCTCATAAAATAATTTTGCGAATTTTGGAAAATATCATTTAGTTTTGTCTCTATGCTTATAAGAACCTAACGAAACTGCTTTGTTATTCAGTGTTTTACATGTAAAAACAAAAGTTGTGAACAAAAGGCATTCATTTTGAGATATTATTATCATTATTCAGTGCTTTACGTGTGCAAACAGACTCTGGATAAAAGCATGTATTTTCAGATATTATTATCATTATTCAGTGCTTTACATGTAAAAACAAAAGTTGTGTATAAAAAGCATGCATTTTTGGATATTATTATCATTTGAACCAAAATATCATTGACATTTTCTGCTACTTTAATATTCATGTTATGTTCAGGTAAATTTACAGGAGTAAAATCGTACGAATAATTATTTATAAGAATCATTTATTTCCTTAAATAAACGATCTTCCTGAAGAAAAAAAATGTTTGGCTTTGATAAGCTCTAGAACTGAACCATACATAAACTCGATTTTTTAAGGCTGAAATCAAAAGCATCCTTGTTTCAATTGTATGAATACACATTTTGAATCACCCATTAAGTTTTAATTCAAATAATTCTGCACTTTATTACCCATTGGCAAAATGGGT